GAAGTCCCTTCTTCCCGAGGTCTCTAAGTAGATGAAGTCCCTTCTTCCCGAGGTCTCTAAGTAGATGAAGTCCCTTCTTCCCGAGGTCTCTAAGTGGATGAAGACCTTCTCCCCAAGGTCTCTAGCAGTGGGGCCATTTCCTGCAGGGCCCTCCCATCCTCTGGTGTAGTATCATCCCTGGCAGCAGGTCAATTTTTGCTGTAACAAATTCCTAGGGAGACAATCCTGGGAGGGAAAGGGGAAAGGAAGAGGAAGCAGGACACAGGGGGATACTATTGCCCGCCCCCCAAGTCTCTGAAGATGGGAATGTGCACATTAGAAGTTGAGTTCTCGAGGAATAAGCGTTTTTGAATAAAACGGGTGAGGCGCAGGGCGTGCGGGCCCCACCGGCCATGTGGAACACACCTTCCCTTAGGAGAGGCCCCTGGCTTCTCGCTCAAGGGTTCCTCCTCCCCGCCCCTCCATTCCCTTTCTTGCCCGGGCGGGCCCAGCCTGCGCCCCACGTGAGGCCGCGGGGGCGGGCGCCAGCGCCTTCCTGCTTTGCCCTTGTATGGTGACCCGGAGGCCGGCCCACGGGTACTTAAGTCGGGCCGCTGCAGAGGGCTCCTGGAACAGAACGCGCGGGCAGCGAGATAGCTAACGCGGGGAGAAGCGGCAAGAAGAGCCGAAGCGAAGTTAGAAGGGAACCTCAGCTTGCCGCGCCGGTCCGCCATGGGGTTGGAGGCAGCGCTCGAACTGGAGTGCGCGGAGCTAGGGGCGCTGCTGCGAGAGCCGCGGGAGGCCGAGCGGACGCTGCTGCTCGACTGCCGCCCCTTCCTGGCTTTCTGCCGGCGCCACGTGAGCGCCGCACGGCCAGTGCCGTGGAACGCGCTGCTGCGGCGCCGCGCTCGGGGCCCTCCGGCCGCCGCCCTTGCCTGTCTGTTGCCAGACCGCGCGCTGCGGGCGCGCTTGGCCCGCGGAGAGCTGGCGCGGGCCGTGGTGCTGGACGAGGGCAGCGCCTCGGTGGCTGAGCTCCGGCCCGACGGCCCGGCCCACTTGCTGCTCGCCGCGCTGCTGCACGAGATGCACACCGGGCCCACCGCCGTGTGCTTCCTGCGAGGTGAGCGCGCCGCCCGCCCCAGTCCCGGTCCGCCCCTACTTTGGACCCCAGTCCCGTCTTCCTGACTTACCGTGTCCTTCTGTTGCCTGCAGGAGGCTTCGATGGCTTCCAGGCCTGCTGCCCAGATTTGTGCTCTGAGGCCCCTGCCCCGGCGCCGTCGCCTGCAGGGCCTGAAAACAGCCGCTCAGACCCTAGGGCTCCCTTCTATGACCAGGTGAGTCGAGCTCGGGGCTCCTTGTTGCTGTTCCCTGCCCCCGCTCCCCAGTCCCCGCAGGCTAGGCGCCTTTAGGGAAGGAGCCTGCTACTTACTTATGGATTCCAGGAACTTTATGTGTGTGTGTGTGTGTGTGTGTGTGTGTGTATGGCTGAATGCAAATTGTGGAGTATATAATTTTTGTTTCTCCGGCCCAGGCAAGCTCAAACTTGGTGGCTCCTGTTGGGCGGGGCGGGGGGGAGGGAGGGGAAGGATGGGAAGGGGGCGCTAAACACTGAGCCATAATGGTCAGCTTGGAGTACACATTTTTGTGTATGTGAGACTTTGTGGGCCTCTATATATATGCACGTATATTTGGGGCATGAGGGGGCGTGTGTGTGTGTGTGTGTGTGTGTGTCCCCTTGTGTCCTCTTTATATTCCTGCCTGCTTTCCCAGGCGGGAGGACTGGCTGAGGGCTTCTTTTGTCTCAGTCAACCCATGATGTCTCCATTCAGCTGGTGCTCAGGTCCTTCTGGATTGGGATGCAAAGGTCTCACCATAGCCCCTCTTCTGCTTCCAGGGTGGCCCAGTGGAGATCTTGCCCTACCTGTTCCTGGGAAGCTGTAGCCACTCGTCAGACCTGCAGGGTTTGCAGGCCTGTGGCATTACAGCTGTCCTCAACGTTTCTGCCAGTTGCCCTAACTACTTTGAGGGCCTTTTCCACTACAAGAGTATCCCAGTGGAAGACAACCAGATGGTGGAGATCAGCGCCTGGTTCCAGGAGGCTATAGGCTTCATTGGTAAGGGGGCACTCTGCCCAGAGATCTGGAAGGGCTCCAGAGGAGGGAGTTCTTGTCTCCTGGCCTGTGCTCCTTCCGATTTGACCCTTTCCCCAATCTCCCTTGCAGACTCAGTGAAGAACAGTGGAGGCCGGGTGCTGGTGCACTGCCAGGCAGGCATCTCTCGCTCTGCCACCATCTGCCTGGCATACCTGATGCAGAGCCACCGAGTGCGGCTGGATGAGGCCTTTGACTTTGTTAAGCAACGCCGGGGAGTCATCTCCCCTAACTTCAGTTTCATGGGGCAGCTGCTGCAGTTTGAGACCCAGGTGCTATGTCACTGAGGCAGGACCCTTCTCTTACCTCCACGTGCTGGTTCTCACTGATTCCTAGAGCTGTCGACTGTGGACAGGCTGGTGCCTCTCTGGCTCAATACATCCCCCTAACCTCTGGGAGGGCTGTTGCCTCCTTGGAGTTTGAAAAGTCCCCAAATGGGGGCAGTAGGAAAGCTGGAGTGCTGGACTTTCTGACCTGGTGCTTTTCTGTTAGGGGACCAAGGGCTGGCCCTCATTGAAGGGACAGGAATGGAGGGTATGTCTACACTCTCCTCCCTTATCCTCTGGCAGAAATTGGACTCTACACCCATGGACTCTCTCTGATCCATCGCTACGTTGAAGCCCTTTGCTGCCTGAGAGTTCCAAGGAACAAGCTGTGACAATTAGAAGCCCTGTCTGGGAGGTGGTCTGTCCCAGGGCCTGGAGCTGAGCCTTGTGTTCCTGGGGGAGCTGGGGACTCAGGAAGTGAGGCGTCTGTTGTGTTGTGGACCTCTTACGTGTGTGTTACGTGAGCATTTCACGCCTGTGTTGGCGCTGGAAAGTTATTTGTGTTCAACTGACATTTAACACTCCCTCCCCACTTCCTCCCAGCCCTATGGGCGGGGGTTGGAAACTTCGCACTTTATATTTATATAGCACATTGAGGATGTGTCAATAAAATATTTTGTTTAAGAAATAACAACCCCCCAAGTGTCTGGTCTCAAGTCCATACCCAGGAGAATGCTAGGTAGCTGTTTCTTAACCAGATCTCAGTTTTCCTTGTGCCTGCAGTGTTGGAGAAGTGGAGGGCCGGAGGGCTGACCTCTCCTCTGAGGGGGAGACTCCTGGTCCCAGCTCTTTTCCCTGGGCTGGTGTTTTTTCCTAGACAGAGCTCTGGCTACAGGGCTGGGAAGGGTCCTTTCTGGGAGGTTGGCTCCCAACCAGAACTCTGATTGGACTCCACCTCCTTTGGGTACATGTGTGTCTGGGTATAGGTTTCTGTGGGTTTGGGTGGTTCTTTTCCCTGTGCACACCTACATGTTGTGTGTGGGTGTCCCAGGGGGAGTGTGTGTTCAGGCATGCGGCTCTCTCTGTGGCCCTGTGTGCCTCTGCTTACTCATGGGAGGGCAGCACAGCCTCTGCTCTTCTCCCACAGGGCTGAGCCTTGAGGCCTCTCCATGCCTGTCCCTGCAGGGCTCCCAGTAGGCCTTCATTCCAGAGCTCCTTCATGTCCCCACATGGCAGATGGCCAACTAGCTATCTGTGAACACTGCTTACATGCATAGAACAGGACTGGGGTGTCTGTGGAGACAGACATGGGGGCAACTTAAGCCAGAAGTGGAGGGGTGAGTGTGCAGGCTGCCAGAGGGTGCTGTGGTCTGCCTGAGAGCTGGGGGGCTGGGGCCCTGGGGCCAATGGTTTGGGAGCCAATTTTGTTTCAGCCTCACCCTGACAGTCTTGGCCACTTGGAGTGTCTGTCATCCAGTTGACTCCATTTTATCTTCCAGGCTCAGCTCAAGGGTCTCCTTGCCCAGTGCATTCTGATGACCTGACAGGGTACACTTGAGGAGGGTAGTGTAGTTTGATGAGGGACCAGTTTTGCCTAATGTTGCTGTAGCGGGAAGGGGCATGTTGCTGTACACCAGTTTCCTTTTCTATAAAATGGAGTTTTATTATTAGCTCTCACCTCTTAGGGTGTAGCCTTACACAAATCATTTCATATAGTGCCCACACATGCTGTCACCATCTGGCCCTAGGAGTGGTGTTGATCAGATGTCTAGGTGTGCAACTGTGCACCTGGACCAGGCTGGGTGCTCATGAGACTGGGCCTGTGGCTAGAGCCTATTACAAGTGGGTACTGGCTCTGTCTGGTTGAATGGAGATGAGGGTGCCCTTGGTCTCTGCTCTCCAGGGGCTGGAGTGAGGTGTTGGTGAAAGAACTGAGCTGGGGTTGCTAGCCTGCCTCCCTCAGGACTTGAGTGAGTTTCCGTTGAGTCCTGCCCATAACCCACATACCCAGCTCCAGTGGCTCAGCCACACCTTCACCCTTACCCGGTCCATCCACCCAACTCTCCCCTTTCTGTTTTTAATAATTTATTTTCCAACAAACTGCCTTTCTCTGTTTCTTCCCTCCCTTCCTTCTCTCTTTCTCTCTTCCGATTTATTTTAAAACTTTGAATTATGGTAAAAGGCATACAATTTATTATCTTTACCATTTTTAAGTGTCCACTACTATAAAATGTATTCATGTTGTTGTACAACAGACATCCAGAACTTTTTCATTGGCTCGGCGCCTGTGGCTCAAGCGGCTAAGATGCCAGCCACATACATCTAAGGTGGCGGG